GGGTCTGAGGTGATGTGATATTATGCTTGTTGATTATTTCTAGGCTCGCACCAGTGAAATTCCTGTGTAGCACTGGGGTGAGTCTGAGGGGGGTAGTGAAACATTGTGCGTAGATGATTTTTTGAACAATCGGTTATCCAAGAATATGAACGTTGACTCTGGGTGAGATAAGGACAAGTGAGTTGTGATAGGATGGCTAGTTGTGTTCATTTCATACATAGGTTGGGGTTAATATTTAATTATCTACAATTTGAGACATATGGTATATACATGAGGGTTTCCTTGTTTGGATTATTTCGCTCGACGTACTACGTCTCTTGTTGTAGATTTTTAAGTATTAATTCCATCTATTGTATGATCTTGTTACTTGGTTAATATTTGGATTCTTCTGATTATTAGTATTCCAGTTGCACGCCTCTATCGTTATTACTATCATCACATGATCTATTTCTGTTTCTGTTATGGCATTGACCATGCATATATTGTCTTTACTGTTATTGTATTTGTTCCTGCCTTGGGGGATCTTGCCGTGTGTATACACGCTGACGTACTCCTATTTTCCGGGTGTACGTCAGATTTAGGAGATGAACAGCCCCAGTTCGGGATAGTACAGGAGCATAGGATTTGCAGCAGTGAGGTCTTCCAGATGGATCAGAAGAACAATCTGAATATTAGACTTTTTCTTTCTATAGTAGTTGATGAGCCCTAGATCTTTTCTACAGAACCTTACTTTAGTCTGGTGTTGGATCTAGTTGTTTTAGCAGTACTTTCCTTTTATTTCTGTTGGACTATGTATTTTATATTTTAGTTGGACCGTTTTATAATAAGGGCATGTTTGACCCATATTTTTATGTCTGGGATGATTTACCATTGATGATATGTCTATTTCTTATTCTGGATTGTCATTATATTCTTGCTATGTGTGATCGGGGACCTATGACTTCGCATTGTATTTATTTCCAGACGCTTAGCGTATTGGATTGAGAAGAAAAGAAGAAAAAGAAAAAAAATGATAGTGTATATTTTTTCTCAATCTAATACGTTGCGGGCTTGTTCACGTTCTGATTCCCCTGTATTTTGGGAAGCGGGGCGTGACAACTAACATGTTGGACCTAACATAGTTTGAACTAGATATCATAGCAAATCGATTAGCACTAACAATAAGTCTATTGGAACTAACAACTAATAGATTATACTTAACAATAAATCTATTAGAACCGACATTAACTGATATTACATGAATTAACGTGGTACCTAGAATTAACAACTTAGCATAAAAAAAAACGCGGGCTTGGTTTAGAACTAGCAAGTTGTTGGCTCAAACTGGATGTATACAAGCTAGAACTAGGGTAATAGAAGCTAGAACTAACGTAATAGCTAGATTTAACAAATTTTTATTTAAAAACGCTGGCTGGGATTAGAACTAGCAAGTTGTGGGCTAGAACTGGTTGTATACAAGGTAGAACTAGTGAGATAGAAGCTAGAACTAACGTAGAAGCTAGAATTTACAAGTTTGCATTAAAAACACGGGCTGTGTATAGAACTAGCAAGTTGTGGGCTAGAACTGGCTGTATACAAGCTAGAACTAGGGTAATAGAAGCTAGAACTAACGTAGAAGCGAGAATTATTAAGTTTTAATTAAAAAACGATGGTTGGGTTTATAACTACAAGTTGTGGGCTAGAACTAGCAAATCTATTAGAATCCGAGCTATAATCCAATGAACTAACATTAACTGATATTACATGAATATTAGTCTTCGCATCAAAAAAATCCTTGCCCCTACATGTCATCTCGAACTTGAACGGCGCTGTGGACTTTTGAAGAATCCTCTTTTTCCTTGAAAGCTTGCATGTGAACCTCCTTTAATCCTCTGTTATGGCAATGCTCCACCATAGAAGACAGATCCCCCTCGTTCTTAATAGGAAATTTGAAGCTTCCACTCGTTTCATCTTTGAATGACAAACTTAATGATTCATATGGAAGATCTAACCTATCTGACACATCAAATTTTAGATCAAGAATGATGGTTGAAGTGTTAATCTTTATGAATACTGCTCTACCACCCGAAGCTACGATGCAGGTGATGTCCTTTTCAGCCATTATGAAGTGGAGGGAAGAGTAATGGAGAGAATTTTGGTCCGAGGAAGAGTAATGGAGAGAATTTTGGTCTAATGAAGAGTAATGTAAGAGTAATGGATAACTAGATATTTATTGCTCATGATAGACTGAAAAAGGGGGGAAATTTCCCTCCATTTATTACAGTAGTTTGCATTTAATGGGATGTGACGAAGAGTGGTGACAAAGCGTCTGGGGACGAAGGAGAAGGGCAAAGTCGGGTTTTTTTAAAATACAATGTCTCTGGCTGTATACAGCTGACGTGGAGGGCCTTAGAAATATTAAAGGCTGCTTTTTGAGGCTTATACACAAGGGGGAAAATACAATGGGCCTCGTCACATGATTTTTCAGCTTTTGGGGCCTCGACACATTTTTCCCAAATAATTATGATATTTATGCGATTCAAAAGTTATTCTATTTACTTCATTGCTTATTTGAATTATAGTATAATTCTTAATAGTATTTAGTAATATATTATTCTATTTATATTATCATTTTAATTATTTTATTATAATCCATAAATAATTATTATAATAATATAATTGATTACTACTAATAATTGTGTATGCTTATTATATAAATTATTTTATTTTATTATTTTTAAATAATTAATAGTTATTATATTTTTGATAAATATATAGGAATATGAGGAGCAATAAAAGGTTATATTTATTTAATGAAAGATTAATTAGAGATAATGACATAGTTAGAATTTAACAAAGTTTGAGAGGGCAAAAAAGACTAAAAGTTTTAACACCCCGATCCTCTTTTAATTGTAGTATAAATATAGATAAAGGTTGGTCTTTATTCTTGTTTAATTCTTGAAAATCAGAAGATAAAATATGTCAAGAAAGGAAACTATAGGAAAAAAAATTCTATACTATATAAATATATAAATATATAGCTGGCTTGTAATTCTATATTCTTGATTGGTTATGATTAATTTCAGAAAACCTATAACTCAGTCCATAAATGATCTCCACTGGTTTTATTAAACAACTCTTCGTTTATTGAACAGAGCTGCAGTTGCTGATAAGTATGATTAGTGCTGTCCAAAAAGTCCGTCGGCCCGAGCTTGGCCCGGAAACCCGGGCCAGACTCGGGTCCGGGTCCGGTCGTCGGCGCCCCCCGCCCCTGGAATAGTAAATTTTTTTTTAAATATTATTAATATAAATTAATTTTGTAAATATATTGTATAAATATATATATATATAATATATATATATATATATATTTATATAATATATATATATATATTATATAATATATATATAATATAATCATATATATATATAATTAAATATAATATTAATATATATATTATATATATATATATATATATATATACTCTTCCCTTTAGTATTAAGTGTAATATAAGTATATATCAAATTATAATAGTAATTCATACTCCCTCCTTAATAATAAGTATAATAAGTAATACTCCTTACATCAATAATATATTTATAATATATATATATAATAATATATAATTATATATAATTATATATTATACATAAACATATATTATATAAATATTAAAATTATACCCAACAACACACATAAACTTATATAAATACACATATAAGTATATTTAATATTAAGAGTAAATTATATATATATATATATATTATACTATATATATATATATATATTATATATATATAATTATATATATATATATATATTATATATATATATATATATATATATATATATGAAAAGAAAATATGGGTATGCGCTTGGTACCAAGCACAAAAGTTTAAATGCTTGGTAAGTGAGTGTAACAAAATCTCCCCTCCAACTTCAATTCAAATAATGGGAACCCACAATTTCCATGGGTAATGAAGTGGATGGGGAATGTGACACATGCACTACCAAGCACAAAATTAATGCTTTGGTTAACCAAGGCCTAATACCATATTTCTCCTCTCTCTCTCTCCTCTCTCTCCTCTCTCTCTCTCTCCTATTAAATAATAATATATATATTTAATATATTATATTATATATAATATAATATATAATATTAATTATATAATATATATATATATATAATATTATATATATATTATCAAGAATTACTTTTGGTGTACTAAGTTAGTTTTGGTAAAATTTAGGAGTTTGGAGAGGAGGTTAGTGGTTCAAATCCTAGCCACAACATATATATTTAGAAGTCTTTGATTGGGCCTTAGGGGCTCTTGGGGTCTTTGAATTTTACAATTATTTTTAATTTTGTTTGTTTTTATAAATTTTACAATTATTTTATATCATTCTAATTTCTATACTTTTTTATATTTGTAGATTTCATAATTACTATTGATTAGTAATATAATTTATTTATCAAAATTGTGTTTATTTTTTGCTTTGTATTCTTAAAAAAATTAAAAAATTAAAAAATTTTAAATAACTAAGAAAACCGGGCCGGCCCGGAGCCCGGGCCGCTCAGGCCTGGTCGGGATGGACCCGGTCAGGGCTTCGGTTTTGCCCGGCCCGGCCCCGATTTTTCGGGCTGGTACGGATAGACAGCCCTAAGTATGATGCTCGAGTTCTAGACTGCAATGAGAGTGTAACTGTGTTTTGTACTGATATGCGAAAGAAAAAACAAGTTAGACTTTATTGTTAAACTGTGCAAATAATCAATGCCCCAAGGGATTCCCTGCATAATGCTGTGCAAAAATTCACTCTTTGCCTATTTCTAAAAAGCCTGAGTTTAAGTGTCCCAAAAAGAATTAAAAATAATAATTAATTAATTAATTAATTAATTAATTAAAATAACGGAGATTAATTTCAAATAAAAAAGTGCGTCATCATAGATATTATGTTTTTTTTATTTCCATTAAAAACTCATATGACAACCTTGATATTAAATTTGGATGGCAGAACAGTCTAACTAAATGGCTTAACTCATAAAACCCCAACATTAAATATCCGGCTGTTGATGTTAGTACAATGTAAGCACTTTTCTCTACATCGAGATACAAAATGCCGAAAAGCGACACTTACCGCTCTCTATATCAAATCAATTCACTACAAATACACGCGCTGCCTCTTTAATATACATACGACTCATACGTGGAGCTTTTTGTCATTCAAGTTCTCATGCTCATCTCTGCCTGAGCTTATAGTATGCAAATTGGGCAATGATCTGTATTAAATTTCTGATTAAGGAATTAACATGATAGATTATAAATTATTCTATGTACGTAACCTCAAAACAAAAGTATAGATATAAAATTGTACGATGAGAAGGATATACCAGTAAGTCAAGTAGCACGCAAACTATAGCGTCAAGTAACCATGGTGCATTTGCTTTCAACCTGTCCCATCGCACGCTCCTCACAAGAATGCTGCATCCAATAATATTCAATAATGTAATAAATTTTCATTGTAGCTGCTTATGAGCAAACTAAAAGCATCTATACTACATATAAAAGAAGATTGTCTTTGTCAAAACTTTTGATTTTTATTTTTACCCTTTTAAGTTTAACAATTCTCAAATATATTATTAGTTGTAATTAATCATTCACTAATTATATACAACCTCTTATTAATTATGCATCTGCTCACTTTTTCAAAACCTTTAGTCACACTATTTTTTATTATCTATTATGTTATTTAATAGAAACTTAAATTTTATCCATTAATTTATCTTTACATATTATTTAAAAATTTTAGAAAATTTAGAAATAATAAAAATTCATTAGGCTTATGTCTTATGCCTTTGGGTTTCACCTCTTATGGAGACTACCTGTTACCTTTCATCTTTTTAGCCTTTTAAAAGTATGATAGTAATATGTTGTATTTGTAATACTATTAATAGTATAATAATCTTAATAGTATTTTTTAAATTAATAAATTACACTATAATTTAATAACTATATAATTTAGTAAATTATTTACTAATAATGTAATAAACTAATTATGAAATTAAAATGTAGTTACTAATAGTATTATAATTATATTGTGTATAATATTATCATATTTAAAAGAGAAGAAATTATTTAACATATTATAGTTATTTTAATAAATTATAAATAAATTATAACAGTTATCCAAACTATAATAATTGATCATACAGTTCTTTATACAGAGCTTTATCGTACAATATATTCATTAAAATAAAATTGTACTTTTTCAGATTTTATATAGCAATATAATGTTCAGATTTTATATTGCTATATAAATCATTTCATTATTTTATAGCCAACAAAAAACTTTTGAAAAACATAAAACAAAACAGATATGCTCTCACGCAAAGCACGTGCACTATATTAGTTTAATTAAACAAAGAATGATGTGTTACTTCATGCTCTTAGCTGAAATCATTAATGTGACACATATCCAAGCCATAAGCTAAGGTTTGGATATTTTTAATGATATGAATTCAAGTGGCATGGATGTGCCATTAGTAGCAAACTAGCCCCAAAATTAACTATATATATACATACACAGTACACACGCACACACATGTGTCTATATATGTGAGCGGGTACGTGTGAATGAATGAGAACACTGGATATGAGCTATCACTTAATTAGAAAATGAACTATGCAAGAGGTGGGAGGTGATATGTTGTCCTGCTCCGATATATACTTACACATATGTAGAATCATACATGGGATTTGTTCATACCTTCCAACATAAGTTGCATTTGCAATGAGAGCGAAAATGAACATAAGAGGATTCAAACCCTGCACAATTTGCAGAAACATGTCAAAAATTTCAAGGAACAGTCTATGATATCACATTAAACCAAAGGTTAAACAAGGTTAATGAAGGCTATACCTCAACATTCCCACGCTTAATCTGAATGGCAAATAGCAAAAGAAATTAATTACTATAGAAAAATAATTAACCCTACTAAAGATGGGTAATTAAGTTTCTACTAGATGTGTACTTACATTTAAGTATATTTGAGGTAAACGACCTCCCATATATATTGCTGCCATAATCCATCCTAAAATCATCCCATAAGTATTAGCTTCCAAGCCATTCATTATTGTTTCCTGCAGTTTAAATACAATGATTAGTACTGCATATGTTATAGGTTGCCTCAAATACTCAAATCCATATTGCTTTGGGAGTTCCTTTTTTAGGTTGTTTTGTTTTGATCAAGAGTCCTACTTATATTAGACTTTGCATAACCAATCATATTAGATATTTATTCCTACTTGAACTCTTATTAGGTTTTAGAACATGTGAACTTCTATTCCTATTAGAACTCATATTCCTTAGACAGCTAGAGCTGGAATCTTCAAGGCTATATAAGAACAGTCTTTCAAGCTAATTAGATTCATCAATCTTCAGAGCATCAATCAAGAAGAGAGTTCTTTTGTGAAGCCTATTTGATATTCTTCTCTTTTGTTCCTTTAGTTGAGAGTTGTATTAGGCTTTTGGGGTGTGATTTAGGATTGAGAGATTGAGAGATCCACTTTGTATTCCTCACAATTTAGTATAGTTTTCTCCTCCTTAGCCCGTGGATGTAGGCTACAAGCCAAACCACGTATATCTTTGTGTTTGTGTGTTCTTGATATTTTTCATGCTCTCGTGTGATTGATATTAGCTTATCCTGGGAATTTATCATATCAAATTGGTATCAAATCTCTCAGCTATCGATCAGACGAGAAGATAACGACAACTACTACGAAATGGGATATCGAGAAGTTTGACAGCAACATCGGTTTCAGTCTTTGACAAATTAGGATGATCCCGTATTGACAATGAGTGGATTGAAGAAGACTTTGTTCGGGAAGTCGAAGAAACCAGCTATTATAACGGAGGAAGATTGGAACGAGTTGGATGATAGAGCTATCACAACGATTCAGTTATGTTTGACAAACGAAATTTTGTAAAAATTCTCACGGAGAAAACAACCGTTGATTTATGGTCTAAATTGAAGGATTTGTATTTGACAAAGTCGTTCACCGATCGCTTCCTCTTGAAGCAGTGTTTGTACACACTTCGGATGTCAGAAGGAACACCCATCAAATCTCATATTGGTGAATTTAATTCTGTGATTACAGATTTAAGATTGATGTTAAAATCGATGATAAAGATCAAGCCCTATTGTTATTGTGTTATTTGCTGTCTTTCTACAAACACTTCAGGGATACTATGATTTATGGTCGAGATTCTATTGGTATCAAGGACATCAAAGAGAACTTATTGAATAAGGAGAAGATCGACAAAGAGTTAATCACAAGTGAAAGTTACGATAAAGTTGATGACTTGTTTGTTCGAGGAAGATCG